GATGTCCACCAGAAGAACACACCCACTTCTTGAGGTTTGTGTGACATGACGAACTATTTTGTGTGGCTTATCCAATTCCTCCCTGCGTTTATCGAGGAGGTATCGCTTGGCTCCGCTTGACTTCTAAGGTGTGCGCAAGTACCACATGTAATCCATCGCCTTTCAACATTGGTTACACATTCTTTCATTTTTTGTTAGAATATATGATAGGCATATATGATTTAGCAATAATATGCACTATTTACTGCATAATGTTGATGATTACTAAGCCTATTATTATTATTATTATTATTATTATTATTATTATTATTATTATTATTATTATTATTAGGCCTATTATTATTAATTATAAACATTGTATACTTTTTATTTTTGTTACACTGTCATTGAGGATAATATTCCTCGAAGACTTTTTAATCAAATGCAATGGAATTTAATATTGTAATTATATTTAACCATAAATTTTAATTCAGAATAATTGTTAACAGGCTTGCCTCCTTGGTTTCGGCCTTTGTTTTTAGTTGAACAGATGGAAATAAATACATATAAATAAATAAATAAATATATTGTTTTCATTGTCGTCGACGTCGTCTTCACCATCATCATCATCATCACCTTCTTGATTTTTTCCAGTGACGTCGTAGTCATATTCATCATCGTCGTCGTCATTAATGTCATTGCCGTATAGTCATTTTCGCCGTCATCACCGTCGTTATCGTTTGGCATCGGCCAGTCCAGTGGGGTCGTAATCATCACCATTATCAATGTCGCTATCGAAATAATCATCATCGTCAAAGATAACCCATTATTAGCCTCGTTCATGTTGTCATCATTTTCAAAATCTTTACCACTATTTTTGCAACTTAGGTCTACACAAATACAAAATTATCAATTTTATCACGCTCCTTCCCTGTCAGTCATAATTATCATTATCCTCATGATTCAAATCAGTATCATTCTAACAAGCAGTCCTATGGTAGAAATTTCATTATCTAAAATCTGAAAGTGTAATTTGTCATTAATTAGTAAAAGTGACGTCATGGATAATTGACACGCCCGCGTACTGTTGCAGTAACATGGCACTACAATATTGTATCTTAATACCAAGCGGACACCTACTTTGTATTCGCTTCACGTTCGGAATACAGACAAGGTGTTTAAAATTCCATTATTCGACCGCTAAATCATTTACGTAATGACAACAGGTGATAGGTAAATATCAATTAATCAGTTATCAAAATAAGAAAATCTACTGCTCATCGGTCTTGTTGACACGCTTAATATGTGTATATCTACCGAACGTCGCTAAGTATTGAGACTACACAAGTTGTGTTTTAATATTGAATCTGAGTATATGGCTTAATCCTAGACTTAAACTAAATACTTTACGTCATTCGACTCACAGTGTATTTTTTGTAAATATATGTATTTCATTATCGTGAGAAAAAAGAAGGCAGTTTAAACCAAGGTATATGGTGTTGTTAGGCTTAGACAAGTAATCCTCGAAAAGTGGAGCACTTTACGTAGCCTACCTTAAAGTCATCTCTCCTCGACCGCCGACTATAACAACGATACCAATCATCGGGTTTCAAGTCAGCTAGTATGTCGGAACGTTAGGACACCTTCGTACGATAGCCTTCCAAAATCATGACATCCAAACAGACGTTAAAATGTTATGCTCTGTCCTTGACAAAAAACTGTTGTATGCCCATGTATAGTCGTGATGTGCCTATATATGGCCATGATGTGATGTCATCATGACCATATATAGCCAAATTAAATCTAATAGTCTGGAAAGGGCTTTAGTGTACAGAAGGCATCAGAGAGCTTAAAAGAAAAACTCATGCAGTTAATTGAAGCATCCTGAAACTGGAAAAGCTGAGAACAAACTTATGTGTCCTGAATGAAGCAAACATAAAAGGCATCGCAACTTTAGTCATTAAAGCTTTCTCCATCAAGACTAAAATTAAAATATAAACAATATTTAAGAAAAACAGCATGTAGGTTATATTAAAAGAAATTCAATAAATACAGTAAAGACAATGAACAGTATCCGCAATTAAAAAGTAAAATGACAAATTCAGATCACATTGTTTTATTATTCTTGTTTTCGTTCATTAATATTATTTTTTTAGTTACATGCTTTGTATACCAAGTACAGTATACGATTTTTTTATACGAATTGCGGTACGAAGATGTTCATAATTTTTTCCCTGGAGTCTTCCAGTAAATACTGTACAGCAAATTTAGTATTTGTAATTACTAAAAACGTCAGGCTTATCACTTAAAGGTCTCTGGTTTTGAATGTAATCACAATGGAATACGAGTTTGTCATCAGATCATATCGATGTTCTACACGTCAATATTTAAAAAGTTATTTTCATGGCATAGAGGACAACGTGTATATAGAGTGGATCATATTTGTACACTACACTGTGCCATCAGGTGGAGGTGTATTTGATCCCTTTAAGTATACTACTAATCCCACAAAACGATGTGTCTAATAGGTACGGTCCTGTACGCTATCTCGGTAATGATAAAGAAAGTTATGGTTGGCAACAGCAGGACACACTCACCATTATACCGAGATAGCGTACGGTACCGTATTCCTATCACTGCCTAAAATATCAGTTTCGTTTTTCAAGTAGGCCATCTTTGGAAATTCTTTTAAATACATGATGTTTGTAACTAAGAAATATTTAATTGACTGCGTACAATAACTAACCCAATCAACATTGCTTAAATATATTTTTTTTCTAATGTCTTAAACATGGCCTTTATGTTATTAGCAAAGGATTTAGACATTCTGAATTGTTAAATGAATTACATCTCATGTACAAATGCATTTCGCTGTAAACATGCTTAATAAAATAATATATAGAAGAACGAATAAAAACAGATACATATACAGCATGTACAGCTCCAAATATAAACATTATACTTCAGTACGGTATGATTTATAACAATAATAATTGAATAACCAGTTACAGAATTATGCTTATACAAAGCTGTTAAAAACACATTTTTAACACTTATTTGATTGGTTGATTGATTGATTGATTGATTGATCAATCAATACATCGATTGGTTGATTGATCTATTGATTGATCCATCCATTCATTCATTTACTCATTGGTTGGTTGGTTGTTTTTTCGGTCGTCCGGTTGGGTCGTCCGGTTGGCCGGTCGATCGTTGACCAATTGATCGATCGATCGATTGATAGTTCGATTTACGGACACGGGCAAATGATTGCCAATATCAAATAATATCACGCCCACAAAGATACAGAAACTCAAACGGTTCTCAAATATACACATGCTGTACTCTATTGAGTATAGCCTTCAATCATTTTTTAAAATTTATTGACACATAAACAAATGTCTGGAAGAACAATGTAGTATTAAAGGGGAAAATAAATAACAAAATGCCTCCCCTTTTTTTAATTTTTAGTAAGTAAACTTTTCTCTCTCTTTCTTGGTCAGAAGTCCTATATTTTCAATCGAAGTCAGTGTACATGTGTGTAATACATCATGGTGTACTGTAATCTAAATATGATGATGATGATGACGACGATGATGATGATGATGATGATGATGATGGTAAGCCTATTGAGGATGATGATGAAAATGATATTAATAATTATATGCCTATAATAATAGTAAACTGATAATGATAAACATAAACAATATAACAATAGTAATAATAATGATTACAAAAAGTGCATACTTCAAATTGTTTCATAAATATGGCTTATCCAATCGCAATTGTAAGTCATTCGTTCTTATAAACAAACCGACGTGTAGCCCTTATCTGATGAAGGCCTCTGTATGATAAAAAACGATTGTGAACTTCATTGAAATCTGGCATATTTATGAGTCTTATTATCACAAGATGGCTTAGACATTTTCTCTTTTAAAGAAAGGTCAGTCTCATTTTAATGTTATTTTTTAAAAACAATAATTGTTACTTATGTTAATTATAAGAAACAATATTGTTATTTTATCATAATACAAACTTAACAGAAATTCATTCATTCATTCATTTTGGTTTATTATTTAAAAAAAATGACATGGCAGTATAGTAAAACAACTGAATTTAGTCAAATATACATAGTTATTAAAAAGTATAGAGTACATTAAAAAGAATAAATTGAGAGTCATTTCCTTTTTCTTTAATAAAGTTATATAACAATTGTATATATATATATATATATATATATATATATATATATATATATATTGTACATTAGTCCTACACTAGTCATATAATCGTCAAGGTCATATAATTCGTTTGTTTAATTGAGAAAAAACTAAGCCTATGGCCTACTGTATTTATGATTTCTATGGATGTATATTTAGTTGAATAAATTATCATATTGATGCACACTGCAATCATTGAAACATTTACTCTCATTATAATTCCTAATGAAACACACTTTAACCACTGACACGAGACTTTTTTTTATGAAAATAATTAACAATTTCTGATAGTACACCACGTGATCAATTCTATTAATCTCCATCTTCATTTTAAAATGATACCATGATACCGTTGCAATTTTTCATCCAAAAAACATTGAATAATCTAGTAAACAAAAATGCTTTCTTTGATGGTTTAGAGATGATTCAAATGACAATTCATGATGATAAATTTCGTAAGATTAAGTCATGTCGTTTAATAGGTGTCATACTAGGCTGAAGCGACATAAAAGAACTAACAGATGAACTGCGAAGGAAGTCATATCATATTAAAACGAACAGGCGAGAGAGGACTTAATCGTCTGCTCTGACCTAGCGTAGCGTGGAATATGTTTGTATTAATTGTAAAGGTACTGTGTCCAAGCAAAACGCAGAATACGATTAATATTAAGATATCGGTAAACATTTAACCACGGACTTAACACAGAGCGCCCGGCTCAGGTGATCTATTGGCCAGACGTTGTCACGTGATACAATTGAGTTGAACCAATATCGAGTTTAGAGTAGTGTTCATACAGTGGTTGTTGTCATTGAAAACGAGCTAAAAGAGTCGATGCATTTAATGAGTCTCACAGCTAGTTTACAGCCCTGCTTCAGTAACTTTGCAAAGGTTGCAGATAAAGCAAGAATTTTTGTCGACTCTCCATACAATTTTTGTGTGAGCGAACAAGGCAACATGTACTCCTCCAATGCTGCGACCGCTGCGACGGATCTCAGCTATCACTCGCTACCCATATCGCATTCGGGGTCGTATCATGGACATTATACATCAAGACACGATTCGGACAGTCGATTGATGAATTACCCCATACAGACAGCTGCCTCGTATCCCTCTTGGAACGGGCTGTCAAACAATTCGGAATGCACTTCCAACAGTCTCGCGACGTCCTCATCACCATCGGGTTATCACAGTTATAGTAATGCAGTGTATAGTTATAATATGAACCTGAATCATTATCACCAAGATACTGAGCACCCCGCTGCCCAAGAATATCCCCATATTCAAAGAAACTTACATCTACCATCCGCAACATGCCAAGCAGCTTACACGAACAGGGACAGCATTGCCAACACAAGGGAGGCGACGGCACATGTCCCCGTTTCAGAAACAAACGGAACTTCTAGCACACTGGGGATTGATAACGAATCGCCCCCTCCTACCCTCACGAACCTTGATAATCCGCAAGTTAGCGGAGAGGCGGCTGTATATAGTTGGATGAAAGTCAAGAGAAATCCTCCAAAAACAGGTAAGTAGCTTTGCTTTTATAAGATTGCCGAGCAAAATGCATGCTCGCCATGTACTATTAGACAACAGTAAATCCAATGGGATTAGCACTCGTCTCTTCAATGCATCTTCTCCACGTGTAGTGGAACACTAATAGATTTGGACGATTTAAAATCGTGAAATCTGAACGCAGAAAATCAATTCATAATGGACATAGGAAAGACTGCTGATCAGGGACTGTTTGGCTGATTGTGTATTATGACCCAGCTCTTGTAAAGTTGAGCTCCGGGCGAAAGATTATCATAATAGTGGTCTCTTGCCAGACAGAAAAAATATATATCCCCGATGCATGTTAGCTGTTTTCATTCAATTCGACCATATGGGGGAAAAAACGCGGTCGATATGTAAACATCTTAGTTATATGAATTATAAAATCGCTTGTTATACAATCTGTAGTTACCTATCTAACCATTCCAAACAAAAAACGAATCCATGAAAGTATTTTAATTTTCTCTCAATCGCGTATAACTCCAGTCAGATCGACTGAACATTCAGAACAAACAAAAGCACCGGAGGGTGTGTGTAAGTGCTGGATATATATAAAATAATGTAGAATCCACTTTCTACTTAAATCGACAAAGAATTCAATCGCATTTTTCCACAACAAATCCATTCAGTCAACGATTTGTCCTCCTTCTTTAAGCCATCAATGCAACGAGCAGTAAAGATTTAATTTCTTAGAAATTTCAGGCCTTCTTTTTGTTTTACCTTCTGCGAATCTCGTTGTTTATAATTTGTTGATTATTATAATTAAACATAATAGGCTTACTATTTATTCCATTCATTAACTGTGTTGGCATATATCGTAGTACATACACCTGTATAGACCTATAGACCTATATTTAGGAGTAGGCCTGTATAAGCCTATGTTGTATAGGAATGTTTATGTCAAGAATATAACACACATCAAAACGCATTGATATCACCGTTTCCTTAGAAAGCAGGCCTATTGTTTGTTTTTCATATGTTGTAAATTCCATTGTTTAGAATTTGTGTTTCAATAATTCAATTAAAACAATAGGCTACTATTTTAATACATGGGTATATATAAACCTATAAATGTATATACATACAATGGCCTATATATACCTATATACAGTAAGCCTATAAAATCGTGATATTTTTCTGTATGAGTAACGCCCATCCGAATACATAGCTTAATGGTATTTTAATACATGGGTATATATAAGCCTATAAATGTATATATACATACATAGGCCTATATACAATAGGCCTATATAATTGTGATATTTTTCTGTATGAGTAACGCCCATCCGAATACATAGCTTAATGGTATTTTAATACATGGGTATATATAAGCCTATAAGTGTATATATACATACATAGGCCTATATACAGTAGGCCTATATAATTGTGATATTTTTCTGTATGAGTAACACCCATCCGAATACATAGCTTAATGGTATTTTAATACATGGGTATATATAAGCCTATAAGTGTATATATACATACATAGGCCTATATACAGTAGGCCTATATAATTGTGATATTTTTCTGTATGAGTAACACCCATCCGAATACATAGCTTAATGGTATTTTAATACAGGGGCATATATAAGCCTATAAGTGTATATATACATACATAGGCCTATATACAGCAGGCCTATATAATTGTGATATTTTTCTGTATGAGTAACACCCATCCGAATACATAGTTTAATGGTACCAGCAGGGAGGAGTGATTTCACTCCCCTTGGTAACCCTTAATGTTAAAAGTAGGCCTACCACGACATTTTTAAGTTATTCCTACTTAATTGAGTTACCATTGGGAACACCACGCCAATTGATTTTTAGCGTTAGATTTTTAAACCATTGATAAAGTAATCTACTTTATCGTATTTTTTTAAAATCTATTTTTGTCGTCCTTGGGTCTTCGTTTAAATTTGTGATTTATCCATTCATTTAATGCTTCCTTTAATGCCATTTTTTGCCCACTTTCATCATTACAATTAGATAATGGTGTAGATGTTCTCATGGAGAGAATGGCTAAAGCAACACGTAACAAATACTGTTAGTGCCTAAATAGACGATAAAAAAACTCTTCCGTGTTAACAAGGTTTTGATGTTGAATACTCAACAACCAATATAAAGATACGTTTGCCAATATGCATTTATCATTTTCAATAATTGTATAATGAATTAGAAAGATTTGTAAATACCTTTCTATAGTACTGTTACTGTTGTAGTAGCCATCTTCTTCGGAAGACACATGGCCGTCTTTGATGGGTATCCGTTGACAAAATCACTGCTGGTGTTTATTTTGAGAGCCAAGATTTACCATTAGGCCATATGCTACACAAATGTATTTCAGTTATCTTTATATTTTATTTTATATTTTTAATATTGTCAATATAAATATATTTAAATATTTTAAATATAAATAGCAGGATTTATTTAAGCATGGCAAACATTTGTTTTAGTTAAATAAATTCTACCTTAGGTCAATCATCAAATACTTAGTAACACCATCCCATACATAAGCCTATGAAGCGTGTATATTATCGTGTCACATCTTGTTTGATGAGAAATTAATAATTAATTAATTAATTAAATGATACATAATTGTTTGAATTGTTTCAAAATTTCATTCTATAAAAAATGTTAATTATGATATATTTAGCAGATATTAAATGTTTATTCATATTTTTTTGTGAATTTTACAATACTAACTCTTCATCCGTACTGAAACATTCCGTAGTGTGAATGACTGTATCAAATCAAAATGGTATCAATTTTCTTATATTTTGTTGACGTTCACAATTTAAAGCCTTTCATGTTTGTAATCAAGGAAATCTAGCTTATTAAAGGTTAAAGGTTATCCATTTTTACCGTGCAAAATACGAGGGTCTCTATGCGCAAAATCAAGTCAACACATGTAAATGGGAAAAACAAGGAAAGAAGAACTCCAAACCAGCACCCAAACCGCAGTATGGGGATACACCCTCGTCGCTGCAGGGATCTATCAAAATGTACCCTGTCCAGCACCAGTTGAGTCTCGGCCATCCCAGGACTCAGACGCCTCCTATCCTGATAGAACTAGAAAAAGGCTAACTGGCAAGGAAAGGGGGAAAGGGAACCAAAAAGACCAAAACAATTAAATCTGATACCAAATGTGAATTAAAAAATAACATTGTTGTTGACCTAATACAGATGAAAAACAAGATTCAAAATGTAGATTTCAACTGCTCACTTTGTATATTTAGATATGTTTTTAATTTCCAATTGAACATTTGAACCGAGTAAAAATATTTTGTTTGCCAATTAACAAACGAATAAAAATACTGGATGGTTTAGATCTTCTCATTTTTGTAGCTAATTTGATCTTTTAAAGCCAGTATTGGTAATTTAATGTTTTTAATTTATTATTTTAGTGGTTACCTTCTGAAATGTACAATAGGCGCACACATAAAGTAGATTTGCTACAGTTATACCATTGTCGTTTTTCTATGAAAGTTAGTATTTCTTATCGATTTACATGCCCCGTCTTTCTAGTGGGCATATTTACGCAAGGACCATAGTCCGTGCCGTCACTGATTCTCAACTTTATCCAAGTCGCAATATCAGATTTGATAATGTACACACACATACTCACTAATGGTCGTGCTTGTAATTGATTCACATACGTGAACCTAAATCACTGCACATTAGGTCATCTTTCAGATGTGAAATAATTACAGAGCGACAATTTCAATCATTGGTTATTTTGTCATTATGAAGGAGAAACATAATTGATAATTATTTTTTAGATGTAGTTGGATGCAAGTTTGTTGAATTCTGTCAATAATTTACGTGTATTTTGTTTAATACATTGATATATCTACATAAATTTTAGATCAAACAAATTAGTGTCTAATAATTAAAAATGATAATAGGCCAGTGTACAATTATAGGGACAACTCTATAATTATCATCACCTTCGATATTATAAAGAAGAACATTTCATTGCTTTGGACAACATTATGCGTTTATGTAAAATTTTAGGTCAATTTATATTTATATGTGTAATCTTTTTAACATTTATTAGAAATGTAATAAAATATAATCAATTTCTTAATAATGTAATATTATAATTAAAATATATAGGCCTATAGGCGCCTATATACATACACACAGATATATATATATATATATATGATATATATATATATATATATATGTGTGTGTGGGGGGGGTGTGTGTGTGTGTGTGTATTGTGTTATTTTGTTGGAAAGAAGTTAATTTGATAAACATACTTCAGACTTATTTTACCACAAGTCATTATATAATAATTATACACATAGTCTATGTAAAGTAATTTTAACAATAATAACAAATATGTATATAACTGTTTTCTCTTCAGCATATACAAATGATTTCGTTTAACCATTAAATAATAATTAAATTCCATTATCACATACCGGTAAACTTTATTTAGGTCAATATATTTACTTTCATTAATTCATACATTTTATATTTAATTATTATAAATAATATTGATGTTATTTTGATTAAAACAAATTGTCTTTTGAATCAGCACTAATTCCCGAGATGGTATGGTATTATTCGTATGTTATTTGTGCTATTACTTTCATACAAAGAACACGTTTACCGTGACTATCAATCGGTCATTAAGATCAATATTAAACGAATAATTTATTTACATAATTACTCGTATGTAATGATATAATGACTAATCACCTAGGTCGCTAGATTGTGCACTTGAAGTGAACACTAACAATATGAATACAGTATCGCCCAAATTAATTAATTATTTTCCAAACAAATTTACACACAGATATTGAAATGAATGTATTTGTAATTAGAATCGGGTAACAAACGTTCGTGGGCGTTTTGAGGACGATCTTAGCCATGTGAAATAGATTGATATTTTTATCTTCGTGGTTATAAATCTTATAATGTATATATATATATATATATATGCATATATATATGCATATATAT